GCAGTCAGGAAGTGGTCAGGAAGCGGTTTGTGTTACGGCGCTGCATTACTTTAGCTGACAATTGCATGGTCATGCAACGCTGCACCCAAATTTAATTTATGTAATTTTTTCCCATGAATTGAGCTTTCTTTCAGTGGTATTTGATCGCCAGTGCATTTTTTATTTTTTGTGCTATAAAAAAAAAAGGACCGACAATTTTGAAAAAAAAAAAATATTCCCAACAGACCACCCCACTCCATGCCTCCAGTTCCTTTACAGCAGCTCTGATCCCCACTGCTACAGCATGTGGTACACCAAATGCCTCCTCATAACACAGCATCTGGTGCAGTCAATTACCAGACCTCTGTGCTGTCATATGGGGCAGGGCCATGTCTTTAAATGTGATATTTCCTACAATATTAGTTTATTAGTAACAAATGCCAGGACAATCTTTGGAGTAGTAAGGGCAAGGCCACATACCAGAGGGTGGCTAGCACAGAATAAGAGGTAGGTTGGGCATTGGTTTGCCCAGACAGTTTTAACATAAATATAAGAGACACATGAAGATTACCATTGCTGAAAATCTTCTGAAAATTCTTGTTGACTGGCTCTCATGCTGACACTCTGGTACATGTATATTGACTTTCCTGATCATGCATACTTCTTCCATAGCTCCCAATGTCCCTGATTTAAAGGAACTGTCCCTCTTTTGGAACAAAGTCTCTCTTCCCTCCTTACGGCTCAATTGTTCCTCATTTTGGTCTGCTATACAGGGCTTAGAAAAAAAATGGAAATGCTACATGATTAACAGTTGTGAAAGTGACCACATGCTTCAAGCTGAAAGTGGAAGTGATGTATTATTCTTTTGCTTGTGTGATGAGACACCTAGATAACAGGAGGGAAGCCTCACTTTTGTCATTCACTGTGTGCACTGCTAGTAATACGGAGTTGTGTCAGAACTTACTGAGCTTCTAAATGGGCAAATTGTTGGTGATCATTTAGCTGGTGCCTCTGTGACTGAAGTTGCCAATTTATTCGCCATGTCACAAGGTACAGTAACAAAGGATATGATGTCATATACAGTTTCTGGGAAAACGGTGTCTGATTAGCATAAGAGTGGTTAACATGGTCAACTGACTGAAAGAAAAGAAAGAACATTGCACAGAATTGTGACCCAGAATAAGAAAACAACTGCTCCAAAAGTGACTGCAGAGCTCAATCTCAGTCTTCACAGGTGATTCCAAGAAAGAGAGTAAAACAATGGTGAAATAGATACCAGGAGCCATCTGGAGTGTGGCTGCTACTGCTTCTGGATTTTCACCCAGATCAGAAGGAGAGATTGTTAGTGCCAGATATCTAGGTCTACGTTCTAGGCTTGTTAGAAAGCAGTTGGAGGATTTCCTCAATACCACAGTTGTCTTCAAGTCTCGGACACAAAGACAGATGCCACATCATTCTCAGGGGCCCCTGCAACTGCACTTTGCTGCAACATTCATCTGGATTTATCTCTCTTAATAACCATATATACCTAGATACTGTATATATGCACAATTCCACCAGGACTTCTATTAGAACTCTTTGCTGATAATACCTGTTAGTACATTGTATGTACTATTATGAATACCTTCTCATATAAAGCTTGTGTTATTTCTACTGGTATACTTATGATTAATGTTATACTGTATGCTGATTGCAGAGGTTTTTCTGCTTTGGTTACTCTGGATGGAGGTACTGCCAACTTGACAACTTTATTATCAAAACCATTTCTCCATTTAGCAAAGGCTCTGGTTCTCTTTTTCACCTACAGGTTTAGTGCAATATCTCTGGGCCAGCGATATACTGTCCCACTGGCTTAGAAAAGACATTTGAAAAGCCCTCTTGTGAAATCTTGCACAGGGCACTGCAGGTGTTGCTGCCATGAACATTCCCAGGAGCACCATGCAGTCTCTTGCTGGGAGTGCAGCTGAACTCATCGCGCTCATGACGCAAGCTATTAATTCAGCTATCTTGCGGTCGGGCAGAAAGATTTGGCCTTTGTGTGTGTTGAACCTTAGTCTCAGGTATTCCATCTTCTGAGTTGGAATAAGCTGGCTCTTCTGAGTTTTTTTAAGCCATCCAAAGTTGGACAGGATTCTGAACACCATTTCTCTCTGATGCACCAGTTCTTCACTTGATTGTGCAACTAGTAAGATATGCCAAATAGTGGAAGATCCTTACTTTCTTTAACCGAATGACAGCTATGGTGGCTAGTAGAATTTTGGAGAAGATTCGGGGAGCAGCACTGATCCCGATGGGCAAGCATCTGAATTGATAATGGTCTTCTAATATTGTGAATCTTAGATATTTCTGATGGTGCCTGTTGATTAGAACATGTAGATATGTGTTCATCAAATCAATTGATATTAGCCAATCTTCTGGTTGTATGACAGATATAATTGTATATATTGACACCATCTTGAATCCTTTGGTATTGATGAAAAGGTTCAGAGATCTCAGGTCCAGAACTGACCTGAGGTCCCCGAGGCTTTTAGCACTAAGAAGATTAGTGAATAAATGCCCTTCACTCGTTGTTCTGGGGGCACTGTCGCAACTGGAGGTTTTCAGCTGCAATTTGACTACATATTAGATTAAGCACTCCCTCTTCTTCTGATCTCGAAGCCATTCTAGCTTGATGAAGATGTTGAGCGGCTTTTCCCAAGAAATTATCTTGTAATCATTTTTTACCATCTTCTGAACCCATTGGTCTACAATATTCCTTCGTCCACACCCCCCAAAAGGCTGTGAGTCTTGCGCCCACTTGGAGGGGTTGGACGGTTATACTGTCCATAGGACGTCTCACTTTAAGCCCCTTAAGAAGGAGCTTTGCATTCCTCTCCATTGGCCCCTGATGTATTCTGACCTGGTCTATATGATCTGGCTTCTGTTGTTCTTGTGAAGTCGGCCTGTCCCGAACGAAAGGCCTGCTGTCTCTTTTTATTCTTTTGCGGTAGAAGACCTGATCTTCCTCCCATAATTTGCCCTAATGGCCTGCTCTAGAGTCTTGCCGAAAAACATCTTGCCATTATATGGGATATTGCAAAGGGCCTGTTTTGATGCACCATCTGCAACCCAATGACGCAGCCACAGGGCCCTGTTCACAGTCACTAAGTGTGCCATAAGCCTTGCCTGCAGTTTTACTATATCTATGGATGCCTCGGCTAGGAATGCCACTCTCAGATTGAGTTCTTCTAAAGCTGTAATAATTCTGGTTGCCTCCACTCCTGCTTTCAGGGCTGTTTCTACGTTCATTCCAAACCTTTAATGCTGTTGAGCTAGATGTAAGGGCTATGGTTGGCCGACAGGCCACACCTTCAATGGAATAGATCCTTCGGTGATCAGGATCTTCCGTTCTATCCATTGGGTCCCTGAATGTGGTAGAATCCTCTAATGGAAGGGACATATGCATCGCCAGACTCTGTAATGCCGCATCTACTCCTCGGCATCTGAGGTTTTAAAAGGATACAGCTGTGCGAAGTGATTTTGGGCATTCACTTTCTTTCCTGGTCTGTCCCATCTGGCCTCGAATAGTTTGCAGATCTCCATCATAAATGGAAATACATTTCCCTGCCTCTTTAGGTTTGGGAAGTATCTATTGACTTTTTCCAGGGACTGAGAGTCCTGTTCCCATTTTATGGCTTCCTTAATTGCTGTAACATATGGTTCTATCAACTGAAAATTAGAGGAGTGTTTGTGAATTTCTCTGTTTCCGATGAAGTCTCAGAGGATATCCCCAGCACCAATGGTGGACTTTGTGTACCGGAGTACTTCTGGCATTTGATGTGCTCTTAAAGATGTCTGCGACCAGGTATGCACTGTCAGCCATACCCTCATGGATATTATCCTTGATTCTGATGTCTTCAGCTTCTTTTTCTGTGGCTATATCCTTCATGCATTCATTGCATAAGAGTTTTTCTGAGCATAGAGGGAGCCAAACAGGCCCAACACAGGCCATCAGTTAGCCGTCCTTCTGTTTTTTTTGGTTCTGCGGCTACCTAGGCTGTCAGGTAAATGCAGCATATGTTTTGAACACAGCTCAGATATATGTGGAGAGGTTGATAGTTGGCGGGACTTTTCTCTCCGTGAATGTCTCCTTTTAGGGCTTCTTAGGGCTAATTGATAAAGAAAAGATAAGTTTTAGAAGAAAAGAACGGAAAAAAAAATCTCCATCCTCATTTTTTTTTTCCTTTACCAGACCTTTAAATTGTCCTCCATCTTATCTTGAAATAAGGCAGCTGGTACTCAGGGTGACAGCAGAGCTGGAGGCTCAGTGGAAATCCAGCAGATGGGGAAATCCTAGGTAAGGATTGGAGCAAGTCACACATGTTACTGCCAGAGATCCCCCATGTGACCATCTCCCTGTCCCTCCTTTGCAGCAGTCCTGTAGCACTTTTACCCACACAGAGAGTATTTCTGTCTGTGGCCATCAGCCGCCACCATTGCGGTCTGAACCTCCACCTTCGGCATTGATTCTGCCCCCCCACCCCCTTGACTTCATCACCAGCTGCCAGAAAGGACAGGGAGAGTGGATGTGCAGCTCCTAGAAGAGCCTGGGACAGGACAGGTACAGAAAGAGAGAGGTATTTTGCCATATGCTGCCACAGCCACACAAACTTTTATGCTCTTTAACCTCCCTGGTGGTATGATTATTTCAGATTTTTGGTGCTGAAAGTGGTACCATTATTTTGCATGGAAATTTGGCGTTTTATATTGTAGGCCTGTAATTTTTAGGAATAACTCACTGAAATCTGTCCAAACAAGAGTCTAGTAAACATCCCGGGTAGGATAAAACTTGAAATATGAAATCATAAATTATAATTTAATAAATAATCATAAAAAATAATATAATAATAATAAATTTAACTTGATAATATAATCAAACCAAAAACACTGAAATTTGAAATATAGCACCAAGTTCACTGAGCAAAGTCGTAAAATCGTTTTCAATGTCTGATGACGAATTTCCCCACGAATCATTATCACTCAATTCTGCAAGTGGTTCTGATTTACTATCGCTGTTCTCTAGCTGGTCTAAAACCGCTTTTGACCTAAAGGGACGCTTTTCGGACGCCATGGATGTTTCTCAGTTTCCAGGCAGAAAAAACAGTCAAAATGCAGGCAGGGCACAGGACAAAGCATTAGGGACAAAATGTATGTGAAATGGTTTGATACAGTAATGTTTTACTATGTGATTTTAGTGTTTTTAGTGAATGTCACTTTTTGTCATTTTCAAATTTCCCGCCGTTCCGTCCCCCGTATGTCTCGACGCTCAGAGGGAACGGAACCCAGATGGCAGATGCCGGCATCCACCGGATTACATTGCAGGGGACACTGCAGGAGGGACATCGTGGGAGCGCAGGACAAGGTAAGTGATCGAGGGATCCCGGAGCAGCGCCGCATGGTAAGCCCGAGTGTAGCTCGGGGTTACCGCTTGTAGTACTGAAACTTTGCCCCGAGCTACACTCGGGAATACCGCCAGGGAGGCTACGCAATCTCTACCTGTGGCCCCAGCACACAAGGCTTCCAGTTTTTTAAGAGGATTTACTGTACCTCTATCTTTTCTGGACCTTCCATCCCAGGAGAGGCTGAACACGGGGGGGGGGGGAATGCGGCAGTGGCGGTGAAGTCCTTACGTTCTGCTTCATTGATGGTGGCCTGGAGTCAACCAAAAAGAAAGAACAGGTGGGGAGGGTCTCTCTTTTATTTCTGCTAGGGACGGTGATCCTGAGGGTTCGGAGAAGGAATAAACCCAGGTGTGCTCATGTGAGGCTGGCCAGGAAAATGTTTTTTGTTTCAGGTTCATTTGTTAAGTTAGTCATGTAATTTAATTTCATCATATTCATTATGTTACAATGATTCATTTTCAGATTTCGTTTAGTATATTCAGATTCATTTCATATAGTCGTTGCTCCAAATCAATTTGTATTTTTGGATGTTATTTCAGAGGATTCAGATTCATTTCTTATGTCATGTTATTTCAGTGACTTGCCTGTGGCTTCGATGCCACTTGCTTGCGATTTTGATGCAACTTTGATGTGACTTGCTTGTGACTTTGATGTTTTGCAACTTTGGCCAATCGTAACATGGAGTGTGGCACATAGTATTGATCTTACAAAACCAGCTGAAGTCACAAACGGATGAAACAAATAAATATGAATGTATTTGTTTTTGTTATAATTTATTTTGGATTCATTGAAATTCATTACTATTGTGATTCAGAAATTCAGATACATCCGAATCTCTGAATAACGAAAATTTAATCTGAATTTGATTCATAACAAAATTAATCGCACATGTCTAAAATAAAGTACTTGTGGGTTTAACCAATCATTTCCATGTTCTATGTTAGTAACGGAAGAATTCGACAGCCCTGGAGCCTCCACCTTCCAAAACAATTCAGCAGTTCACTTTGAGAAAGCTGTATATTTTGTAAAATATTTTACACTTTTTCTCCAGTAGAGGGTGCGTTTATTCAACTTGAAGCCTAAAAGACAAACGGAATTAAGGTTCAGTTGAAGTTTGCAGCATGTGCTTGAGCAATCTGTAGCCCCTAGATCATCATTCAACAAATTCTTCCTTTATATTAATTACATATTTTATATATTGTCACATAGAAATCCAATTCTTAATTAAACCATATTAACAACACAATGTGACATTGACAGTCAGCAGTGTAATTGATTTCCCTCCCACACTCATGTCTTTTTATTTCAGTTCTGTTCTGATGCAGTTTAACATCGGAGACATATACAGTGGTTAAGTATTAAATGTATACATATCCAATGCATACATTAAATTTGGAAGGAGTGATAGTTAGAATCCCTTGTTTAGTTTTTATAGTTACTTGTGTATCCTTGGGGGAGATGCACCCCTCTATTTGTCTTGGCAATCACTGTCACCGAGACAGAAAGTGATGGGAAATCCAAAATTTACATTTGTCACTGGAACAAAGAGCTAAAGGTAAATCATCCACTTGAAGCATATGTACTGTATATAGTGGTATGTATGTAGGGTGCTGCCGAGCCCCCCCTCAGCCATTGTGAGCAGTGACAGCCCCACCATTCTCAGTCCACCAGGAGAGTACAGAGAGTGGTGCTGTGACAAGGGAGAGGCAAGCTGCGGGCTTTCAGTGTGTCTCCCCTGCTCGACCCCTGCTCCTGCTGTCAGCAGCATGACAGAATGCGACAGGAGTGGGCTCTACATTATCCCAGCTCTGCCCCCCCCCCATTGGCTGCAGGGAGGACCAACCAGAGAGAGAGTGGAACATTATGAGACATATAGTACACTGGAACCCTAGGGAGCAAACTACGGCCCCAAGAATACCCTGCTAAATCCACAGAGGAGGGAGCAGGGAGCCTGAAAAAAAAGCTGGGGGAGGAGGACAGAGAGGGGAGTGAGATGTGCCATTGGGTGTCATCTCCAGATACTGATGGAGACCATGCCACTGCAAGCCACTACAATGTGGAGAAGCTAGGAGAAGCAGATCAGTGACCTGCATGTGAAGAGACAGAGCCACTGCCATGCCCCCTGCCAGAGTCATCACGGGCAACCCAGAGTGAGCAAACATCCAATCTCAGAGAATACTGCTAATTTACAGTATCAATGGGTCTGGTGAGAGGGGGCCTTGTGGCCATTACTTGTTACCACCGTTAGTGACTGAACCATTAGGAATTACCTACCAGCTATCCCACAACCCTAATACTGCCTGCAGGCCCTTTTTTTTACTGCCTTAATGAGCAGCGATGAGCTCCAACGTTTTAGCCAGGGAAGAGTCAGGACTAAAGACTGCCCCTAGCAATAGCCAACCCAAAGTCTTTAATTGCAGATATTTCTGCCACAAACACACCCCGAAAAAATTATTTTTAAAAAGCATCCCACGTAAGTAAAGGGTCTACTTGGGGATCGTTATGGTGGAAGAAATCATCTATCTGTTGGGCTATGATGTCATGGGAAGGGAATAAATTAAACCAGAAAGCGTTAAATTTCCATGGTGCCCTAAGAAGGTCATATACCGGCTTGGCTAGTTGCTTTACCACTAGTGGGGAATGGTCTGAGATACTTCTAGGGGCATAAGCAATTGTTTTAATTAAGGAGGCAGCAAACAAGTTACCCACACAGAGGTCTATGTGGGAAAGTATAGTGTGAGTTTTTAATAAGCATGAAAACTGGTGGGAGGTGAGGTAACGGATAAGCCAATAATCCACCCAGCCTACTTCATTCAGGAACCGACTGAGGATAGAACCTCTAGCCTGGGAGCCTGTGGCCACTGGTGGGTGCTTGTCCAGAGCGGGGTCTAGATACCCATTAAAGTCACTCAGCTCAAACAATCGTACAATAGGTTTGTCTAGTAAAAACGCTATCAATTGTCTCAATACATTGGTTGAAAAATGTGGAGGTATATAAACAACTGCTAGAACACATATAATAAGATATAGGTTACAATACAAGAATACAAATCTGCCCTCAGTGGGTTACTGAGGCCCCCTAATGTTCAATGAAATCAAAGGTATGTCATCCATACATAGGTTAGAGGTAGTAATGATAGGATACCACTAGGGAAGGAGAAGCACACATGGGGGGGGGGGGGACATCCATTTCCCACTCAGAGCAATCAGAGAGTCCAGACACCATAGTGAAAAGTGTAATACAGCTCATATTAAAGAAAAAGCTGTTCAAGCTTAGAAGGCAAACAATTGAAAAAAAGTATGAGAGTTCAGTCAAAACGTTAGTGCAACAGTGCCCAACAAAACAAACTGAGGGACATTCTATTGAACTCAGTGCTCGCTTACCCACAGGGTAACAATTCTGACCCCCAGGTGCAAGCAAATAAAACCACAAAGGATAGGATAGCAAACATGGATAGAGCTCTGTAAAGCAATGGGACACAAAGGTAACATCCCTGTGATAAATGGACAAGGTAATTCAGTTCTTCCAGGCTGAGAAGGAGCTTGTGGTAACAAGGATCAGTCATCCAGATCATGTGGAAGATGGTATAGCTGAGCCTCATGGGTGTCCAGCCAATCTGAGGCATCGGTAGCAGAATCAAATAAGTGTGACTGACCATTGGCAATAATTTTCCAGCGAGCAGAGTACAGCATCGCATAAGTCAGGTGAAGGGTCCAGACGCATCCTTGAACCTCAAGAAATTTCTTGCACCTCCACACAGAAAACAGGATAAAATAAGACTTTAGCCCCATGGAATTGAATGATGGAATGCTTCCTAGCCAATTTGAGTATAATCTCCCGATCCTTATAGTTGAGGAGATGTGCTAAAACAGGTCTAGCTGTCCAGAAGGCACGAGGCGTGTAAAGGTGTGATGAGCCTTTTCTACTGCAACCAAAAGGAGTGAATGCCTCTTTGGCAAAAATATTGAGTAGCCAGGTTTCGGCGAATTGTGTGGGGTTACTTCAGGAAGGCCAATAATGCGCACATTATTGCGTCACAGACGGTTTTCAAGATCTTTCATTCTTAGGCTGTTGGTCTTGGCTAACTGTACAGTAAAATGGGTATCTACTATGGGAAGTTTGTCTTCCAAGTCACTTATGCGACTCTACACAGCTGTAGCCCTTTCTCTTATTTTCTGGATGTCATGTCTGAGACGGTTAACTTCAGTCCCCCCACTTGCTCTTTCACAGATTGCACTGATGCAGTGCATTGCCGTAAAGCCTTAAGGATATCTACTAGAGTTGGCTGTTCTTGCTTTGGTTGGTCAATGTCCCTCTCTATACGCTGCTCAGCCTGTTTGTCCTCCTCAATCCCTCAAAGCTGCAGCTGTGTGGTGGATCATCAGGCTGTGTATTGAGGGAAAGGGTGGAGGCTACCTGGGCATCTGAGTCCTAGGACCCTGTAAGCCTTTGGGTGTAATACAGCATGTCCTGGGGGCCCTCCTTCCCCACAGGGTTTTACCAGACCTTCTAGCAGCCTCCTTCATCTTGTCACCCTCTCCTTTAGGTGCACACTGTACCTGTGGAGTAGCAGCACCATGTTGGAAGTCTGCGCTGGCCGAATCTTCCTGGTTTTTGTATCATTGGATCTAAGGGTTCACCATCAGGATGTAGAGATGCCAGGACTGGGACCAAGGAGCAGAAACAGCAGGAGTGACAGAAATCTCTCTAGTAAAGGATAGGTTACAGGATGATCAGCGGGAGCTCTGTGAAGCACAGCCGCTCACATGTCCTGCTTGGCCATGCCAGACCCAAAGTCTTTACCCATTTGCTAGTTAAAGAGATACCATACCCCTGCTCATTCATTAGAGTGTTCTCAGAACCAACGTAGAGCTATAATTTTTCTTGCAGCATTTAGAGTCTGTATACATTGTTTACTGCTGACTCACTAATTTATGTAT